TTACAATATATGTATCACAAATATGCTCTAGCTTTTTTCCCTACCTATGAACTCCACATAAAGCCTTAGTGGTAGGAAGAAAAAAGGCAACAACAAGTTATGCCTTGGTGAGGATCCATAAATACCATATATGAGAGACTTGAGAGTGTCATGCAATGAAATCTCTAAGTTTTATTTTTTGAAAACTTGCAAAAACTCTGGAATAATGGTTGAACAAAGAATTTGAGACATAGTGCTTGACTCGATTGTTCTGTCTTTCAATTACTCAAGACCCAAGTGAAAGCTCAAAAGCCCCATGGTTGAAGGTAATATGGGTAAGCTTGAAAGTCAGATCAGTGGATTTTAATCCAGAGGAGAATTCTTTGTTGAACGCATGTGTACTTTTGAGGAGCAACAACATTGATGCAACTCCTAATCCATTGCTAAGTTTAGCATTGCTCAGGGACAAGCAAAGGTTAGGCTTGGAGGAGTTTGTTGACGGTAGTTACCATCCATCATAAAATGTCAATAAAACATGTATAAGGGCATAAATATGATCACCAACATAGACTTAGGGGTTTAAACTAATAATTTCCACGAGTTTTGGTGATTCTTTATTTTCTGCAGGAGTTATTCAAAAAACCGTCAAGTAGGACCAAAACATCAAATAACATTGTGCTTATCCGCAGCGAAAACTACTCCAAAAGGTTACAGAGGACACCAGAAGCCATGCCACCGAAGTAGACCTATAGAGGATGATAGGTGGGGCCAGCCGGCCCCACTTGTAGGCCGGGTCGCCCCCTGATCCCACCTGTCAACACCCTATTGTTATGTCGGTTCTCCACCGCCTTAAGGATTGCATCTACATCGTTTATTCAATTCGGTTTGATCGAGGGCTCAGAATTAACGCTCCGGCCTATATAACCATCCCCTACCCTCCCCTCCAGAGCACGCTGCCACAAGTCAAGATCAGACCAGAAATTAGGATTTCTAGAATGACGAGAATAGAGCTCCAATTCTTCAAATTTTTAGTATAGGCTAGCTAGCAAGGTTCAAGTAGAGTGTGGGCTATTGCTCAGGATTCTGGATGTACCGACTGGAGACTAGTATAGCCATTGTATCTTTTATTTATGACTTTGTGCTAATTCAATATTATGTTGCTATTTATTATGTTCCAAGTTTGCTCTAATTATATACTTGATATAGTTGTGATTGATAATGAGTTTATGCATATGTTCGCAAAGCGCTTAGCCCAAGACGTGCGTGGGTTAAGTGGTTGACATTATGTAAGCATGGTGCTTGCACTCGGGGTCATGTGGTAGATTGCGGATGTGACACTCCCGTTGAGTCCTTTGTAGTCCACTCCCCGTTTGTAGAGCAAGTAGAACACGGCTGCGAAGGGAGACAAGCTATGTTCTTGATCTTCCTTAGTAATGTTCCTTATGCATAGATCCAAAGTTAATTATGCTATAGATGATAGTGTATATACTTGGGTGTACAAAAGACTTAGTAAATAAGGAATGACATAGGAATCTTTTGCTCTTACAGAATCTCCTGCCTAGCCATATTACATTTTATGAGTATCTATTTCTATCTCTGGAATTATTATCAATGCTTCATACTTATCATTTATTTATCATTTGACTTACCCCTGCCATAGCATGGGAGTGGTTTTATCATAAGTATATATATTTGTCAATATATCTTTGCCAACAATCCCATAGCTCCTCCCTATGGATAAAATATAAATAACGATACTCGGTATACTCCCGGGTGAAATGCTACAATGGTATATTATATGTGCACTTGCGGATGTTTTACTTTAACATATATATTTTTTCTCTGAGTTTACAAGTGTCATTAATAATTACCAACCACGCATTTCTGGCATCATGCTAAGGATGACAACTTAGTAAAGAGTGATACTAAGAAATGTCAACAACAGTAGAAGACATAGCTTACTGAAGTCAAAACAAGAGAACCATAGTTATCCTCTCTACGCTCCTATTTATTCTAACATTATTGCTACCCTTAGTTAAGTTAGACTATAGTTAGTCTCACACGTTTCCCTGTGGATACGATACTTGGAATACTTTCGAGTGAAAGCTACAGTGGTATCCGTGTGCTTGTGGATTTATCTGTGTACATTAAATATACCAGCAAGATTTCTGACGCCGTTGCCAGGGAAATGGTTGCTGAATTAACTACGAGCTTAGTTTAACCTTTTATCTTTTGTTCTTTCTTTTGTTTTTCTTTTAGCATGGATAACACACCTATATATCAATATGCTAAAACCACGAGCACAAGCCTAAAGCCACCAAAATCTTCAGAGCCTATCCTAACACCTAGCTATGAGCTGTGCCCGTGTTTAATAAAACTGATTTGGGAACAATATTCTCGGAAGAAGGCAACGAAAACCCATACTCACACCTATGGGAGTTTGTATAGACCTGTGCATGCTTACATATCGCTGGCATGTCTGACGAAGCCTTAAGATGGAAGTTGTTTCCGTTCTCTTTAACGGAAAGAGCTAAACAATGGTATAGTCAAACCGTAGGAAGTATGCAAGGAGATTGGAAAACGTTATGCTCTAAATTTTATTTATGTTTCTTTCCCATCTCTAGAGTGGTTAGCCTTCGGAAAGTGGTTCAAAATTTTAGATAACTAGAAGAAGAATCTCTTGCCACATCATGGGATCGTTTTAATGACCTCATCATCACTGGTCCAAACCTTGCCATTCGAGACCCGGTACTTTTTCAACATTTTTATATGGGTCTTAGCAAGGATTCCATGCAATCCCTTGATCAAGCTTTTCTTCATTTGTCTGCTAGTGAAGCAAGGTCTATGCTTGATAGAATTAGTAGAAAGATTCCCTGCACTAGCATTAATAATGAACTCTCCAAGGAAGAGAATGAATCATCTCCTGATCAGGAAAAAGAAGTTTTGATAACCAAATCACAACCACTCCAATCCCAAGATTTAGTTGTCAATCCCGAACCATCAACACCCCAAAATCCTTCATGGGAAGAAGAAATTCAACCTTTTGAAATTTCTTGTGAGGATGATCTTTTTTATGCTGCTTTTAGGAAAAGCTTAAACTTTCAGTTCCACAAGAGACCTTCGAGCGAATATAATTTAATTTCTCTCAAGAAGGGATCTCTTAGAAAGCATCCTTATTCCCATGTAGGACTGGAAAGAAATCAAGGATGGCATATCTAATGAGCCCATAGAAGGAGAACCAAGTCATTTAGAAGCAATTTCTATCTTCTCCCCTTCTATGTCCACATTAGATTCATTCAAACACATCCTTGACCTCGATTATTCCTCTTATGCTCTTTCTCCTTAAACTCATGATGATACTAGAAATCCATCAAGACACCCAAAGCATAGGAGTCATGAAGGCCACAAGGAAGACCAAGAAAAGCAACAACAATGGCTGAAGGATATTAAGAACTTATGTGCCGTTGCCATTGAATGGATGGACGAGGCCTTAGACAAAATCAACCTGAGAGTCACCAATCCAAGGAAAATCTTGGACAATAAAATGACCAATGACTGTCATAGGTATGGAATGATGGAGACAACATTTCCGCCTATAGACATTCATTAAGAAACAACCTTGAAGTCTGAAAAGGAAGATGACATCGATAAGTATGGAAATTATTTCATAAACACCTCATCAAATTTATGCTCACATGAGAAATCCCCTAAATCAATTGGTCTCTCTAACATTGCCACACACGAGATCTTAAACCCCCTCGTGCTTTTTGTTCACAAAATTTTTGAAAGAGTGGTAGTAGATGTATATGTTTATCATAAATATTGCAAATCTTATTGGCATGAATCTTAAGATAGGTACATAAAGGTAGATGTTGAAGGGAAACCACCTCACCAACTTAGCGTGATTCAAAGGTTTCCTAAGGATGAGCTTCTGTCCTAAAACAAGCACTCTCGGGAGACAACACGAGCTTTCATCTTTTGTTGTAATGCCCTTGTGAAATAAAAATAGAAATATAATTATGAAAATATTTCTTTGGGTATTTTTGTTACTAACCATTCCAGATTTGAAGAAAAAGAATGAATGAATGATGACGCAAGGTATGTCCAACCATTTATCATGAACATTTTGGGTGGAGGCAGAGGCCGGTGAGACGGACAAATATGTGTGCTCGTCCAGTTTTTGTTACTTAACATTTGAAAAATATATACCCAAGGAGCGCAAGGACACTTTGAGAAATAGGAAAAGACAGACAAAAGATCAATATGTTCTTTATTATTTGGTATAAATATAGATAAATTGCTTATCTTTGCATGTGCACACGCTCTCTGCAATACACATGTACTCTATCGGGTTGTGATAAACTATACTGTCTATACGCTTAGTTTGCATTCGTATCCATATATAGGCAACTTTTTTAGAAAACAAAAATGGATACATTAGTTGTTAACTAATTATTATCAGCCGAATTGATGGCCAGATTTTTTTTTATTTTGTGAGAGTTTTATATTTTGCTTTTTTAGTATCTCGTGGGATTAACGTGGATGCCCTATTAGAAGCCTTTAATTAGCTACAGGAACATTGTGAGAGAAATTAATTAATGGTCAAATCTGCTTTTGTCGTTTGTTTTTCGCACCAAATACATCCGGTCTGGTATTTGTACGACATCCAAATCGCACAGGTTTCTAGATCCAAATAATGAAACTGGTCCACAAGATCACCGGGAGTACTACTAGTACTACTCGCTCACATGGTCTTGGGCCTGAAAACAAAGTTTAAGAGACATAGTTGTTGGATCCAGCCCATTGCGCACTGGTCTTGTAGCCCAGAGCTGGACCCAGTTATAACTCTTCTCGTCTGTCAACGTTCACCCATATTCAACCAGTCCAGAGCTAATACAGCTAGCTACTTAACCTACTAGAAAAGATGCATGGATTCGCTGAGAATTACTACTACTAGCAGTAATTAAGTACTCTAACGATCATCATTACTACAGTACTACGATAAGGCTAGTAGTAGCAGGCTAGAGCATGGCTAGCTTCTTGACGTTGATGGGGTAGGCTTGGTCGGGCGAGCTGGAGCCGTAGCCCTTGCGCGCGATCCTGGCGTTGACGGCGTCCGTCGGGTGCAGCCCGTCGAAGAAGACGTACTCCGTCCGGTCCCTGCACACGGGCCCCTGCTTCTTGCACAGCACGCCCGACGACCTCGTCGACATCTCGCAGCAGGCTCTGCTCGTCTCCCGAACGCCTGATGAAAGTTTGTTTCATTTTCATCTTCACCCCAACTTGTTACTGAGACGAGAATTGGAAGAAATCAATGATGTCTCTAGCTTGGTACCATGTTTGGCGGGGTGGTCCAGCATGTCCCTGATGATCTTGTAGGAATCGATGTAGGCGAACCTGGCGGCGGGCATGCGCGGCGGCCTGGCGCCGTCGACCAGCCGCCTGAGCTCGGAGTTGAAGAGCGCCACCGCGTCGTTCACCGGCTCGATGCAGGCGGCGCCGGTGATGTTGAGGAACGCCCGGACCACGGGGGTGCACCCGGTCGGCTGGATCGAGAAGATCACAAACTTCCGTGCGCCAAGACCGTACAGCCTCTGTGTAATAATTATCAAACATTTATTAACTTATTGGAGTATTAATTATAAGCAGATCATGAACAGAGCATGAACAGGAACAACGAACAAGAGAGAGGCTGGGCCTGTTCGCTCGGAGAAATTTGGATGGTTTGGAGGAATGCTGGAGGAATTTATGAGAGAAAACACTGCTCCGGATGAAAAAAAAAAGAAGCAGATCAAGTCGAGTTTAAGGGCACGCGAACGGGCCCGAATCTGCAGTTAGAACTTAGGTGGTGTTTGGTTGTCCTTCCTAATTTTTAGTCACTATCCCATCGAATGTTTGACAGATGCATTGAGTATTAAATATAACTAATTTGTGAGACGAATCTTTTAAACATAATTAGTTCATGATTTGATAATGTGGTGCTACCGTAAACATGTGCTAATGATGGATTAATTAGACTTAAAAAATTCATCTCGTGAAATACTGACAAATTATGTAATTTATTTTTTTATTAGTATTAAACACCGATACATCATTCTCGCGACACGTCTCCTAATAACCGGATCCGAACACCGAAGAGGCAGGCAACTAGGCAAGGCAAGAGCTCGTGTACCTGAAGATGGTCCGAGAGCTTGGTGATGAGCGACGTAGTGAACTCTGACAGGGGCGGCCCACCCTCGGCGCCGTTCTTCCTGGGGTTGAAGTAGTTGAGCAGGTAGTCGTTGCCGCCGGTGCCGATGACGAAGAGGCATTTGGAGAGGTAGCACTGGTGGAAGTAATCCTGGCCCTTGGCCCGGCCGCGGTTGGCGGTCGCAGCTGGGCCGCGCAGCTGGGCCCGCAGGTCAGGAAGGGTCACCGACTCGAAGTTGGTGATCTGCTGCCGCAGGCTCACCACCTCGCCCTGAACGAAACATGCGCGCATATACTACTCTCAAGAGATTCTCATTGATTAACCAATGCTACGTCTACGTGCATTAATTCAATGAGGAGCTAGCTAGAGGAGGACTCACGGTGACCTGGCCGGTGTGGTCCAGGATGCCGGAGCCGCCGGAGGCGAAGTTGACGCCGCGCAGCAGCGCGGCGTGGGCGCGGCGGGTGCGCGGGTCGGCGAAGGGCGGGACGAGCCCGCGGAGGCCGAGGAGCTCGCCGAGCGCGTCGATGACGTTGCGGCCGTTGGAGAAGCGGCCCGAGGGGCCGAGCGGGAAGTCCACGCCGTAGGGGAGGTAGTCGGCGCGCACGCCGGAGCCGTTGAGGAAGTTGTTGTTGCCGTTGTCCACCAGCGAGCTCCCGAACACGAACATTCCCTCCACCTGCGGCTGCTGTTTTTGTTTCCCCGCCGACTTGCCGCCGCAGCGGCTCCTGCTGCACGATGCTGCTGCTGCAGCAGCAGCTCCAGTGCCGGCATGGCAGCTTGTGGCAGCGGCAGCTCTAGCTGCTTCGCATTGTCCGCGGAGTGGCACCAGCAGCGCCATGGATAAGAATGTTATGGTCAAGAGGTAGACGAGCCTCTCCATGGATGGATGGACTGACAAAGGTAAGCTGCTACTGTGTACTGTATGTCGGTGAGGTCGCTGAGGTAGCTGCTCTGCTAATCTGGATGATGGAGCTTGCCAAAAGGCGTCGCATTCTGGCGCTGCTACTTATAGCCAGGCCCAGGAGAACAGGCCGGTGTGAAGAGGTCCTGTTCGGCTAAAGGCGAGCGAACAGCCCGATCGTCGTCGGCTCGATGCATGCTTGGTAGCACCACAACCAGGAATCCAGGATGGTGATGAACTGATGATGATTCAATGCTGGTAAGTTTGCACAGTAGGTTACAGTTACAGGGAGAGATCGAGAGAGAGAGAGAGAGAGACTGCAGTTACTGCGCACGTACAGCGGAAATTTAAGCTGCTGCCGCTGGGTTTGTACAGGTTTGGCGCGAACCAGGGGCATGGGATCGATCTGATGAAGGGAAAATCACGTGAACATGAAGGCCAGGGTCAGTGTGTTACTGCATTCGGATCCTCGGATTTAGGGGGTGTTGAGTCTAGAGGCTAAAGTTAAGTTCCTGTTACATCGGATGATCGGATGTTAATTAGGAGGAATAAAAATGAGTTAATTATAAAACTAATTACACAGATGGAGACTAATTTACGATACGAATCTATTAAGCCTAATTAATCCATTATTAACGTATATTTACTGTAGCACCACATTGTCAAATCATGCTCTAATTAGGCTTAATAGATTAGTCTCACAAATTAATCTCAATCTATACTGTTAGTTTTGTAATTAGAATATATTTAATACTCCAAATTAGTATCAGACATCCGATGTAACATGGAGTCAGAATTAATCCGTGGAACCTAACACCCCTCGCTGCTACGGCATCTATCGATCCTTGCAGAACTGGTACTGTGGTAGTGTTACTGATGGGGGTCGTTATTGCTGCAAGCAATGGAGCTGGTTGGCAGGTAACAGCTGATGAGTTGCTGGCATTCAATGAACTCTTGACCGGGCCTTTAATTTCTGGAACAGAAGCCCCTGTCTGTTTGTTTCTTGTGCACCTGCAGTCGCTTCACTTCAGTAGGGCCCTGATCTAGCAGTTGGATTGGGATTTCGTTAAAATTTAGGGTATGTATAGTTTACACCTCCTAAAATTTACTCGTCTAAACTACTCCAAAACTTTAGTCACCCTTTATTTGTTTGGTGGACTAAAAGGGACTAAAAGATTCTTTTAGTCTCTTTTAGTTAGGGTATTTAACTCTAAAGTGACTAAAAGTGAGGCAGCATAATTAAAAGATAAGGTTTAGTCCCATTTAGCAATATTTGAGTAATTAGTTGGTTAAAGCCCATTTAGTCCCATTTAGGCCCTGTTTGGTTTCCCATGGCTAAAATTTAGCTACTAAACTTAATGATTAACCTTTAGTCACCCTATTTAGTTCTAATGACTAAAAGTGACTAAAGATCATTAAAGCAGTTCGACAAAGACCAAACTATCTCTATGAATGCACAAATTAGGGTGGAGGACCTCACGAGAGTTAGCTCCTGTCCACTAGGCACTTTAGCCCACTTTAACACCTCCTTGGGGTACTAACGTGACTAAACTACTTTAGTTATTTTTAGTCAATTTATTTGTGGTTGGGTAAGAAGTGACTAAATAGGACTAGAAGATGAAGAGTGAACTAAACACCCCCTTACTCAGTTGAGGTGAATTCTGATTTCTGCTACATGGGCATCTCATCTACACACCTCCGGCCTCGCGTCAGTTTCTGCTAAAAACTGACTCAGAAGTCCACCGTATGAAACGATTATTATCTGAACCGATTTGGTCGTAACATGGAAACGGTCGCTGAAGTTTGGTGCGTCACGGAATCTATATCTATATACCTACCTATTATTAGTCAAAAGGTTGTTTTTTCCAACCATATTTTTTTACTTCCCACAATAATACTCCTAAGCTCCTCCTTATAACGTTTGCATCCCGGACTTACAATCTATGTTCATATAAGTTATAACCGTGTGTGCTCATTTTGATTTGTGCAAGATGAACAGCCAGTTAATTAAAGGTGCCAACAGATACTTCATAATGCTTATAAATGATTGTACTAGATGTGTACTTGCTAAAAATCAAAAGATGAAGTGTTAAATTATTTTAAGACCTATAAAGTTAAAGTAGAAAATCAACTTGAGAGAAAAAAATAACTGGTTAAGGTATGATCGTGGTGGAGAGATTTTTCAAATGAAATTTCTAAATTCTGCGTAGAATATGGAATTATTCATGAAAGGACACTGTCATACTCACCATAATTAAATATGATTGCGGAAAGAAAGAATTACATGCAACTAAGTTAGTTAATGCCATATTAGAGACATCTAAGAAATAGTAGGGGTGATGCTATATTAACTACATGTCATGTCCTGAATAGAGTTCTTATAAAAAATAAAGAAATTACACTATTTGAGAAATGGGAAAAGAAAAGATTGAATCTCTCCTACATGCGCACTTGTGGTTGCTTGGCAAGGTGAATACACCAATCACCAAGAAACACAAACTTGGACCTGAACTATTGATTGTATTTTTCTTGGTTATGATACACATAGCGTGTGATATAGTTTAATAATAAAGTCTGGAGTCTGGAGTACTTGACATGCATATTGGTACTAATTTGGAGTATAGAGATGTTACATTTTTTATGAGCTTCCTATGAAAGAAACACCTGGCACATCTAGATATGAACCCATAATACCCATGATCAACATATTTCGATAGAACACTTTGAGAAAACCCGTGTGCAAAATTCTCAAGAGGATGGAACGATGATACTATAGTTGCTCGAAAGAGTAAGAAACAAATGACAACAAAGTCTTTTGGTGATAACAACATTATGTACCTTGTGAATGACACTCCAAGAATCATTAGAAAGACATTCTTCTTCGGATGCTGACTTATGGAAGGAAGCAGTAAGAAGTGAGATGAATTCAATTATGTTTAATGGAACTTGGGAAGTTGTTGAATGTCCTTACAAGTGCAAACCTATATGATGCAAATGAGTGTACAGTAAAAGATTAGGTTGATGGTACTATTAAAAAGTACATGACAAGGCTTGTGGCCAAGGCTCGATTGACCACATTCAAGTGTTATTTTCCTTGGCGGCCTCTTATGATCTTCTCATTCATCAGATGAATGTTGAGACAACTTTTCTAAATGGGGAATCAGAGAAGGAGATCAGCTAGATGGATTTGTAGCAAATGGTAGAAAGCTCTAGTTTGGTTTTGGTGAATTGATGAAACCTTAAGTGCTAACCTAGTTTATCAAAGTGATCATGAGACAGGTAGCACTATTCCAAGTGATGGAGCAATGGTGAAGATCATGATGATGGTGTGGTGACCATGATGATCAAGTGCTTGGATTTGGAAAAGAAGAAAGAGAAAAACAAAAAGCTCAAGGCAAAGGTGAAACTTAATAGGAGCTTTTTGGTTTGGTGATCGAGACACTTAGCGAGTGTGATCACATTTAGGATAGATGGTTGTACTATTATGAGAGGAGCTCTTATCAGACAACTCGATCATCTAGTGCCACTAGGTATTGGAAAACATGCATATATATTTTAGGCCTAGTGCACAATCGGTGAGAAGTGAATAACCTTTGAAAATAATTATGAAAATGCTAACACACTTGCACGTGATGTAAAACACTTAGAGTGTTAGCACATTTGCAAAGGTGGTGAGAAAGGTGAAGAAAAGGAGGCGTTGACGGGCTCGGGGTGTTGCCACGGGGGCACCGTCACCCCTAGTCTGGTGCACCGCCACCCTTATGGTGGTGACCGACAGAGGAGGCCGAGAGGGAGGTGTTCTGGATGGCACCGCCGCCCCTTGTCCGGTGGCACCACCACCCCTAGGGCGGTGCCCACCTGGACGTGGTCGAGAAGGGCTGGTGCTGGGGCTAGCCCCAGAAGTGGCGGTGTGCACCACCACAGGTGTGATGGTGCACCGCCGTGGGCACCGTCACCCTGTCTGGTAGCACCGCCCCTTTTCAACAGAGAGCAGGTGAACTGGAGTTGGGCACCGTCGTGGGCACCGCCACCCCTTGGCAGTGCACCACCCCATTTTTCTAGAGAGCATGGATTTTGAGGTGTTGGTTAGGGTGTCACCGCCACCCCCTATCTGGTGCCGCCATCGCCTGTTCGGTGACCGCTAACAGTCAAACTAGCCATTGGATTCGATCATTGGGTGGCACCGCCACCCCATGTCCGGTGCTACACCGACATGTCTGGTGACCCTGCAGAAGCTAACTCAAAAGGGTAATGGCTCTATTTGCTTGTGGGCTTATAAATAGAGCTAGTGGCTGGCCTTGGCCACTCTCTTGGCACTTCTAACAGCTACATACACCCTTTGAGAGCTGAGCACACCACTCCACTCACTTGCACACTTGATTTCATCATCTTGAGTGAGATTAGAGAGCCTCTAGTGCATTGCTTAGTGTTTTAGCATCTTGTGGCACTAGTTGGGCTGGTGGAGATCTTGTTACTCTTGGTGTTTACCGACACCTAAACGGTCCGATGATTGGTAGATCGTTGAGCAGAGGAAGGTGATTGTCATTGGCTCCGATCATTGTGATTGTGAGGTGTTCTTGTACTTTCCCCAGCGGAGAGTCAAAGGCAACTCTAGTGGATTGCACGTGGCTTGTGGATCCCCATCTTATGTTGGTTGTGCCGCACCCGATTGTGGGTTTCGCGTGTGATGCCAATTAGCGTGTGAACCTCCAAGTGAGTGAATCGCCACAACGAGGACTAGCTTATCGACAAGCAAGTGAACCTCAGTAAAAAATTATTGTGTCATCATTTGATTCCGAGGTGATTGGTCTTCATTGATATTTATTATTGTGCTTGATTGGCTCCTTTTGTGATTGGCTCATTCCTCACACAGTGGTATAACACTCCATCCTTCCTGCGCATTTACACTTCTTAGTGTAGCTTGGCCCTTTAGTGTAGCTAGTTTTGAGGGCAAGCAAGAGTCGTGTCTAGTGGTTAGT